AACTGTACAACAATTTTACTATAGTGGCAAAATATTATACCTGTAGCAGTGAAACAGTTTTACTAAATTGGTAAGACATTATTAATGTAACAGTAATACCGTTTTACTGTAGTAGTAAGATAATATTACTGTTACAGTACAGCAGTTTTACTAGAGTGGTTAGATATTATTACTCTAACAGTGAAACCGTTTTACTAGAGTGGTAAGAAATTATTACTGCAGCACTAGAGCAGATTTACCAAAGCAGTAAGACAGTATTACTGCAGCATTACAACTAGATGTTACGTATGGTAATCCTAGATATTGGTGGTAGTTATACAATTTTACTGTAGCCGTAAGAAAAAATTACTACCTTTGTAATAATATTTGACCAGAGCTGCAACATAGTTTTACTGCCGCAGTCGAATAAATTCTTAGTAATCCAAATATTAGCAATTCTTGTATTACTGTCACGGTAAAATGTTCTAGCTGAGGCATATTTAATTAACTTTTTCTTACTGCCACGGTAAGAATTTTTTTTCGGTGTATAATTATTATCACTACTATTACTATCACTGTCCATTTTATTATTTATAGTTTTCAAAAGTATCGAAATAAAATAAATTGAATGTCAAGATTTGAAATGTCAATATTTTAAATCGGGTAACTCGATTTAAATTTTTGTTGTATTATCCCCTTTATATAGGCAACCAACATTACATAAATTATAAATTATTTTAAGTTTTTTCCTAAATTAACTGAATTTTGTAGTATTCGACGAAATATTTAGTTAAATAGATGTCCTTAAAATATAATATTGTGTTTTTTCATTCATACTAAAGGTTATACGACAATTTATTCGATGCACTAAATAGTGTGGAATTACCGCGTGGAATAATATTTCCACACTAATTATGAATGTGTACGGAATTGTCTAATTTGACCCTTAAAAAACAATTCGGAATTTATAATTTTCTGTAGTGGTCGTCGAAAAAAATATTTGTTCTCAAAATTAGGGGACGTGCCACAACCAGACAGATGCGGTTGACTTATTCGTACATTAAATAAGAGCCTCCCTCTGATTTATTTAATTTGTACATTACTCATATAGAGTCAGTTAGGGACACTTGTTGCGCTATTGTTGAGATATTTGTGATTAAGTGTACATGTCGTTGTTTTTTACTTCTTCTAATAATGTTCATCTAATTTTGTTGTAATATAAAGTTAAGTATAATAATTTGTTGATAGGTTACCTAAAATATGACGTCATTTGTGGATAAATTATTACCCAAAAATTAGTCAAATTATTAGTAAGTATTTGTAAATAGCACGTGGTGCTAACTTCTTGCGTTGCTCCAGTACCGGAAACTGCTACTATTCCCAGTATCAAACAGTAAACAATGGACAATTCGAGGTGGGTGGTTAATATTATTACCATTATTTATAAAAGGTAATGTAAAATGAAACAAATATGAAACAACCTGTTAATAGTGTGATGTCTGATTAGTTTAGTGTAAGGGTAGGTAGCAGCCGTTAAGTTAAGGTTCCCAAAAGCTCTTTAGGGGATCGGAATACATCTCTATAACTAGAGCTCGATTTTTTTGTGTAAAGCACACTTCGTCATAATGTGCAGAAACCAATTAGAGTTTGTAGGCATGGTCAGACAGATTTAAACGTGATCAAAGCCGCCTGCCGCTCATCACCGCTCATACAAGTTGAATCAGTAGCGTAGTGTTACTTATTTGTACTTGTTGAATTTATTTAGCTATTTTGAGTTTCTTGGGTTTTGTGCTTCGATTTTTAAATTTCCTGAGTTTTTATTAATATCTATATTTTTAGCTCGTTCAAAATGGAACAGAAAAAGTTATTAGGCAAAAAGGGCCAAATTCTTCAAAGTCAAATGAAAGAAATAATTTCACTCCTCATAAATTTTATGAAAAACAAGGCTGAACACGGTATTCAAATACCATTACACAAATACAGAGAGAGAATTTTAGCTGCTACAGGGATTTCTAGAAGCAGTTATTCTAGAATTAAGAAGATCACTGATGAAGTAGAAAGTGGAGTTATTACTTCATTTTCACAAAGAGGATATACAAAAAGAAGTACACTTGTAGAATCTATAAGGCCTAAAGAGTTGGAAGAGGTATATTCCATGATTTTCATATTATTGAGAAAAGACCACCAACTCTAAATTGTAAGTTACTATTTTGATTATAATGGCAACGTATTTAATATAAACATTATTTTAGGTATGTTACAAAAAATGAAGGATTGTTGTTTTGAATTGCGGGGTAGCATCTTATCACTTAGGAAAATATTATTTAACATGGGTTTTAAGTAAGCATAAATAAGGTTATCTAAAAAAATCAAAATAAAATGATATCAAAATAATTAATTTCTCATAGTCAATTTTTGTACGTATAAAATTACAATGTTTATTTTTTCAGGTGAAAAAAAAAATGGAGACAACAGATCTGTTCTGTTGGAATCCTACGACATTAGGAATAAGAGGACAAATTATTTAAAATCCTTAATACATTATCGGCAAGAGGGCAGAACTATTTATTATTGTGATGAGACCTATTTTCATAGTAGTCATACACATTTGAAAGGATGGACCGATGGCAAAGGCAAATTCAAAACTACAATGAGCAAGGGGAGAAGGCTCATAATGATGAATACAGGGAGTAAGGATGGTTTTGTAGAAAATGGACTGTTGATATTTACTTCAGGTAATAATCTATTTTTTATAGAAAATTATTTAATATTTGCGTCTTTACCTTCTTCATAACATTCAAGTTGGATAATGTTGAAAAAATGGCAAGAGAAAAATTCCGAAGCATAACGCCGGAGAAATGGGCAAACGTGGTGAACCATTCCGCGAAATATGAGGATGCATTTATTCAAAGAGAACACTTTATGGATGAATTTACAGATTCTCTCATATTTAGTGTAAACACGGGATCATCCGATGAGTGGGAATCCGATATTTCCGACTTGGAAGATGAAGATTATGAAAATGTTTAAAATTATACATATTAAATTAAAATGTATTATTTATTTAAACTTTTAGTTGTTTTATTAATTTAAAGTTCATCAGCAATTTAACTAATGAATAGTTAAAATTTAACATTAACTTATTAATATGTTCGATTTAAAATATTTTATTAATATACACAAGCCACTGCTAAGATATCAGGTACCCCTACACAGCAGATTTCAGCCTAGCGTCATCAAATAAAGTTCCAAAAAGTTATGACGTAGTGCGCGAACTGTGGCATAGCTATGAAGAAATGTGTTCTTAACAAAAAAATCGAGCTTTTTGATAAATATAAATACAAACTTGTCTATAATTATTTACCAGTAATATAAATCAGGATTCCGTTATTGGGAACATGTTGGTGTCCGGTAAAGGGAACTAATGCAACTAATTTTATTCCTAAGATTGAAATAAATTAAAGTAACTATCTCTTTATTTTTATCGGCAACCATATTGTTATTAGCTTTGTTAGCAGAGCCTATCGTTGAAAATTCCACACCTGTAAATTTGAACCAATCAAAATACGTGTTTTTGACAGATCACCATGGCAACGGAGGTATTTTAGTGGAAATTTTTTTCTCGTGGGGTACCCAATAGCGAATTATACTGGAAATTTTTTGACGTTTACAATAACAGACCATTTTTGACAGACTGGTTTTTATTTGTTCACATAATAGGTTTAGTTTTGATACATTTTAGTTACAATGCTAAGGTGTTTTCTATATTCTTCGGCCACTTCTTTTCTTCTTAATGGCGAAAATGCAGGACTTTGGATGCTTTGAATTATGTGTCTATGTCTAATAAAATATATATAATATTTAGACACTAATTTATTCACCTTTTTCCCATTCAGCACTTTGAATTTTGCGTAGTTTAGGTGCAAATATTCGTGGACAATTCGGAACAAATTTTCGTTTTTCAAGTTGGAGCCACAATCCTCTATTAATCCGAGTAAGTAAGTCATGGTGCAATGATTGATCATTACATCAGACAATTTCACGCATATTTTGCATAGCGTATGATTTTCAAATCGATTCATTTTTAAACAAATAGGTAATTTTGTTGGTTTTACTTGCTGTGCAATATTCTTTATCGCAACAAAACGCGAGTTATTTAATGTTTTGAACTGTCAAAATACAATGATCACAGCCTCCTACGATTGATGCTTGCTGACGATGGTTATGAATTTCATACCATTTTAAAGCGCTCATAACGCATGTTAATAAAAACGCAGAAAAACAATTTTCTACCACTTGTAGTTATTCAAAACTTACGTAAAATTAAAGAATATACTATTTTCTATTTTCAAATGGTATTCCCATGCAACTACAATGAGTAGAAATAAGCAATTTGAAGGCCTAAATAATTGCAGCGAAACATTTTTTTACGTCGGGCCGCTTGACAACTTCAAAACTGAAATTATATTCGAGGTTAGGGTCTCACTTAGTTACCATGACAACTCAACAATCAAGGCGACAACACCTTTTATGTTTTACTGGTGACTTGGAGAAAATAATTTGCATTGTTGAGAAACAAAAAATAAATTTTAAAAATATTTAATTTTCAACCATAATTCGGCGTGGAATTTTCTTACCGAATACCACGCGAGGTCAAATTAATATCAGGAAATTTTTTCTCGCTCATGAATATTTTTAGAAAATTTCATGAGCTCGAAAAAATTTCCAGAAATAATTTGACCTCTAGTGGTATTACTAGTGACAATTCCACGACAAATGAGCAGACGCATTTTGAATTTAGGCTTTCGATTTTCGGCTCTACGAACGCTTAAAATCGAAATGCTCTTACTCGTCACCTACAGGCTCCGCGAACAAAGCTATTGTATCGGGTGGCATGAATTAATGTTTGTTAGTGATTGATTAATTGATTAGATTTGAAATTTTTATAATTGCTTTAAATTATTTAGAACAAAGAAAAATTTAAATATCTCTAATATGGCACTCATTATCTATTTCCTGCAATTTTGCGTAGATTTATTTAATGGGTTTAAGTCTTAAATATCTGATTTTAAATTTATTTGAACATAATCATTGATTTAGAACAAATATGTTAAAAAGTAATAGTTTATAACACCACCGACTTTCATAAATTACTAACTCAGACTTATGGTGAGTACATTTTAATTTTTTTTTGTAAATGAGTTTATGATTTTGATTTTTTATTGTCGATGCATTATTATTACAAAAGTTATTAATTATTGATAGTTAACGTGTAAGTAATAAATTATTGTTATTTAGTTTTTTTACTGTCTAGAAATTCAGGGTGACAATTTAAAAATTACGTATATCTCATGAACTAAAGATTATATCAGAAAATGCTTAGAATAATTTCTACGAAGCAAGGTGGAATTAAAATGACAAAATGCAGAACTCACAACGGCAAATAATAATAATAGCTATCCCTATCCCTACACAAGTCGCTCAGTTGGCTTCAGTGGGTTGAAATTCACTCAAGAGGATGAATTAAGGAGAGTATTATTATATTACAGTTATTACCCTATCAACACCCTACGCGCCACCCGCTACCTACCTCAACAAAAAAATAGCAACCCCCTATTTGTCATGTGTCATTGAAAAGCTTTAAAAAATGCATTTCAATAGTACAAGTTATACCCTATACAGGGTGCGTTAATAGTACATAATTTAAGAACTAATTAAAAAGATGAACGCACGTTTATTTTGTCAGCTGGGTAAAAGTAATAGTTCATGTATTAAGAGCAGAAAGTGATACTTTGTTGCTTGAGACACGTAGCGGAGAGGTGCAATCTGTTGAAAGCAACAACGAACTTTTCGCTCAAAATGCATACAAGACTTTTAGTACGATCACACTTTTTTAAGAAATAGATATAAAACTGAAAATTTGTCGTAAGTAGTGTATAATGAGTTGCCTCTACCTACGTTATTCATGAAAAAAGCATATGATACTCAAAGTTCGTGTTAACTTGGATAATATAAAAAAAACATGTAATTTCGTACAAATAACTTAAAAATCATTTATTTAGAAGAAATATTATTACATTATGGCTAATTTAAATTGTGCGAGCAACAAAGCTGTCACTTAATGTTAGTTCGCGGAAAACGTCAACTGTGCGGTTAGATTTTGAAGCGTAAAAGCCTATTTTGGATAGTGATCGTAGAAAAATTCTATTTTCAAACTCACGACGAACATTGGCAAATGTTTCGTAGTTAGGTAGTGGAACACAGATTTGAGAAACTCACCCAAACAAATCCGGTGGTTCTGGCAATCTAGTGATCATAAAATCACTTTTCTCTGTCCACTTAAAATAACGACAGCAACATAGTGAGAAGGTGTCTTGCTGGAAATGTAACAGATTTTAATCTTAAACCATGTTTCTTTATATATTTCGCTGGACTAATGAAGGTTCATTAGTGTTTTCCAACGTGTCGAGATAAATTGTTCCAGTTGAATTTCCATGTATATATAAAGGATCAATACTAGTATCACCCTATATACCCGGATTTTATGTTTACTTTTTGCTCTTCTCTGAACAGATACCTATGGGTTCATAATTCATAAATATTTTAAATATAGAATAAAAATTTCATGAGTATATTACAAAAAAATATAAAAAAGACAAACATTGCTCTGCGGATCTCTGGGCTAACCAGAGAGAGATTTCTAGTAATTAAAGCATTGAAAAATCGATAAAACTTTTAGGTTCGAATAGATTACCTAAAAATGTCTAAATATTTACTTTACTGTTGTTTTTAAATTATTTATCACCCTGTATACTATAACACCCTGTATAGCCACTACATAAAACACGTGTTAACATGGTTTTATAACGTTTTAATAAATATCTTTTAAACAATGTTTTAAATTTAATTAATTAAGGAACAAAATAAAGGGCATATTGCCTATCACTTCATAGCGTTCGGCTGGTCGAAAGTCAAGTCCCCGCTCTCCTGGTCCTGGACACTGCAACGGGCAGACGTGGTACCGTCGACCCCAGTGGCGGCGATATCCTAATTCGCTGACTCTAACATTACATATTTTTTAAAAGGTGACGTGAATTACTTTGAACTGCATTTTTTAAATCTGTGATAGGTTACAACTTAGCATTTGCATCTTTTTCTTGTGATAACAAATGAATTTAAATTTTTAAATGTTTCACGATTCTCTTTGTCGACAAGATATTCGTCTTGAGAGATTAAATAGTCTATTTCATCTTGAGCTAGCGCATACTTTTAGTTTTTGTTTTTCTTAAGCATTAATTGAATATGTAAGTTATGTATAATTTAATTCTTCTAGATGTAAATTTGTATGATCCCAATTTTGTAGCCGAATTATTTGTTTTTTGCTGTCGCTCTTTCTTTTTTATATTTGTTTATGGTTTATAACTTTTGTATAAATTGTTGCCCAAGCCTATTGATTTCTACTAGTGGTGATATAATTGATAAATATTATAATTAGGTATCTAAGTAATTGCAGTTTCTTCTACATATTTTTCTTTGCCAAAAGATAGCCTTATTAGGTCGAAACCACTAGCAAGCTTTAAACAGTTTTTGAAAAAATCAAACGAAATATCCTGTAAAAAGGTAAAAAACAAAAAATTCCTTTAAATCTTACAAAGATATGTATTTTTTACACTGACCGGTTTCGAAGTTTCGCGCTTTATCTTATCCACTAGGGAATAAACTAAAAATTTAAATTTTTATAAAGGTGACGAACGAACTGAACATTTGTTAATAGTATACACTGTTGTTAAATATTTTAAAAAAATAATTGTTTTTTATTTCGTGACGTTCTGTATCTGTATCTGTAACTTGTGGAGGGTGGGCTACCCCACGCCACTTAGGCATCATTAGGACCATTGTGCATCCTCCTGAGATGATAGGCACCTCCTAGCTCGTGAGCCAGCCTACAGATTTAATGTAGTTGCCAACTTCGTCAAGAGGTGCTTCTCTTATATCGGCCGGTGTTAGCCGATACTCACCGAAGACAAATCTTCTAATAAATGAGAGCGTCGAGCAATCGTAAAGGATATGCTCGATGGTCTCATCTTCTTGTTCGCTCCCTCTACAGAGTGCGGATTCTGACAGCCCCATGATATGGAGATGCTTTCGTACTTGGCAATGACCAGTCAGAATGCCTCTGACTAGGCGCAGATTCTGTCTAGTCACAGTCAAGTATTTTTTTGCTGCAGTGTTGTCAGGATAACTTAAGGGTTCCCTGTGAACCCTGCAGTTTCTTGTTTTATCCCATCTTTCCTTGAATTTTACAAGGGAATGTTCTTTGATTAGGTTTGTCAATACCGATTTTGTCAGGTCAATAAAAGGCCAGATCCAAAAAGTATTTGGTTGGCTGCTTTCTTGGCTAGTGAATCAGCAAAACGGTTACCTTTCGATGTGGCGTGACCTTTAATCCATCTTAAGGTGACCACATTGTTGATGGATACTTCGGCCAAAGCTTCGTGAGATTCTAGTACTAACCCTGAATAAATTCGAGGTCTGTTCAAGGTGAGTAGTGCTTGTCTGCCATCTGTATAAATGAGCATGTTCCTTCCAGTGATATTCTTTCTGGTTATTTCTTTTGCTGCTATGAGAATCCCCGTTAGGTCTGTTTGGACTACACTGGTACCTTTGCTCACAGCCCATTTTATGTTTAGGTTTAAGAATCTGGAGTATATTCCACATCCTGAGCCTTGTTTTGTTATAGAACCGCCGGTGTAGATATGAATCGTACCTGCCACTTCCGGCTCTTCTATTTGTTCTATTATAACTTTATATGGTTTATGAAAGATATATTTCGGTGAGATGGAGTCCATGTTCGCCTGAAGCAGTGGGAGCGTATCGAGCGCCTCCTGCTAAAAGTGACGTCTCGCCTCACCAGATCCTACATCAGGTTCTATTTCGACCGTGCGGAAGCGTGTCGTTATCGTCAGAGCAACCTCCTTGATGTAAATATCAAGGGGAGTGAAACTAAGAATTACTTCCATGGCTCTAGTCGGTGTTGTTTTCATGGCTCTTGTTATATTGAGACATGCTATTCTCGTGACGTTATAACTTTTTAAATTATTTTCACCCTGACAAGAATACCAGATATGTCTAACAATATTATTGTACCTAATCATTTTCGCTTGACACTTGCCCCGATATACCCTCCTATTAAATATAGAGTATAATTTATATCGTTAAAAATATTCTTTACTAGATTTTTAATTATGTATGACAAAAAGAGTTATTTTTTTGTATTAAGGAAGGTAGCTCGTATGTGATTGATAAGGAATATGTTCTGTATTTTTAACTGACGACAAAAAGTAGGAGGTTCTCAATTCATTGGAATATATTTTTGATGTATGTTCAGTGATAATTCTTTACCATGTTGTTTTATTTTTATGATTTTTTTTTTGTTAGAAAGGAGATACCTCAGGGGGAATCCATATACAAATGGTCAGGAGCTAATGATCTATGACAAAATCACATTTACGATTTTAAAATTACTTTTAAAACTTGTGTCTATTGAGTTCCGCCTTTGTGTTTTAGAAACAGTTTTAAGCACTTTCTGATATAATCTACCAGGTGTTCTTTAAAGCGTTACAGCTATATACCGCTTTTTATAAAAAAAAACGATCCAGACGAAAGTTTTATAGTTTTGTAGGGAACAACTTTTGGCTAAAATCGTTTTTTATAGCTAACCATAATATGGCCAACTTTTTTTTCGCGCAGCAACATTTTCAAGTAGCTGTTACTCAAAAAGTAAAAGTCCAATAAAAAAAATATTTCCCTCAAAAGTTTCTTATTTTTTTATGTACTTTAAAAAAATGGGATTCCCATTTAAAAAAATAAAGTTCACCTCGATATGGCCATATTATGGTCAGCTATAAAAAAATGAATTTAGCCAAAATGTTTCCCCCAAAAAATTATAAAACTTTTGTCTAAAACTTTTTTTTCTAAAATGCATTTTTCGGCGGTATTTAACTGTAACACTTTAATTTGAACACCCGGTATAGTTCATGAGATATACCTATTGTAAGTTTTGAAATTCTCACCTTATATGTATTTTTTATTATAACAGAACAAAATGGCCGCAGAATACAAAAAAGGATCACCGCCTATTGGAGGAATCGATTACGAAATAAAACTTCAAACGTTATTTGCATTGGCAGGATTTCAACATTTCCAACTCAAACAATGGAAGTTATCGAACGAAAATGAAGCTGCAGGAAAATTTGACGATCTTGTCTTCGAAATAGAGTCAGAAAATATACTTTTACAATCAAAGCATAAGGCCAAAGATAAATTACAGGAGAATCAATTTCTTTCCAGCAATCCAAAAAATGATGACTTTAGCTTACCAAAATACATATTGTCCTTTAAAACGTTAAAAGGTTTTAACATTAAGTATATGATTATTTGCACTAATAGTGATATGAAAATTCCTCTTCTTAAACAAAAGACACTTGAAGATTATGATCTTATACATAAAATATTCGAAAATTGTCAAGTTTATACAATTAGTGATGATTATTTTAAAAAAATCGAAGAGAAGATTTCAGAATATCAGAATAATTTAAAATCAGATAATAAGTGGAAAAACTTGCAGGTTGAAAGACGTGAAATTGAAGATTTTTTTTCTAAATGTCTATGTGTACGAGCCAAAGACGGGCATATAGAAAATGCTATAAGGAACAAACTAACAATGATTCAGAAACGTACCAAATATCAAGTGTCTTCGTATAAATACGTCCTAGATCAACTTCAAGAATGGTACAAAACAAAATCAAACAAAGCTAGTTATATGACAAATCAATATATAAAATCTATTTTGTACGGGGAAGAAAATAAACGTTACATTGAATCCCTATTGGATGAAAAAAATATATACAAAGATCATTACTATTTAACATCATCCGGTTTATACAATATTATATTTGGAAAAAGACCAATTTTGTACCTGAAAAAAATATTGCAAGGATTATGGATGTCCTATAAAAAGGACGGAAAACCAAAAGATATGTTTTTTAACGAAGTTTTATTATTGAACACGAACAGTGTTATGTATGAAGAAATTCTAGATTGTTTTAATGTATCAAAATTAAAATTTTTAGTAATATTAATAACTAATGGTTCTCAAAAATTTTCTCATACTTTAAAAACATTTGAAGAGATTGTAACAAAGAAAAAAATAGATAAAAAGATAATAATTTTGTCCAGTCGAGTCTACTTCAACGATAAAACTACATTTAAAACAATTAATGATAAAATTTTGTTTAACAACTTCGAACTTGAAACTCAAAATCAGTTTTTAGAAAAAGAAATATCGTTTCAAGGGGCATCGTTCTGTTTAAAACAAATAAATACGGTAAATATAGATTTTGATAAGCTTATCGATGAATGCATAATTGAAAAATTTATAACTTCTGAAAAATTTTCTATTGGTTTAAAACTAAAGGAATTAAGCGAAATTAATAATTACTATATTTGCCGTAAGTTACAAAAAGTAAACGAATCATTCACTGAAGACGAAATATTGGACAAATGCAGGGAACCAGTTTTGGTCATCTCTGATCAACCAGGTACAGGAAAAAGCACTCTAATTGTGAAGTTGGCAAATAATTGGAAAAGACTGTATCCTGATCACTGGATAATTCTCCTTGATTTAGGAATAACCAACAAATACCTCAAAGAAAATAAAGAATACTGTAATCTTTTAGACCTTCTATTGCTGCATGAACGAAGCAAATCCAATTTTGATAAGGAACTAATACAGTTATTGAAGAAAATTATAATTCTAGATGGTGTTGATGAAATTAGCTCCTCTGAAAGAACAGATTTATTTAATTTTGTCTCTACTATATCAGAAAGAGAAGATATTATAAAGATAGTTATTACTACCAGATCTTACAGCTTCATTTTGGAAGAAATAAAAGTTGTTGATAATATTGATTTTATTTCATTGGAAGAATTTTCCAGCCAAAATCAGATTGAATTTTTTAAGAAATATTTTAAATATACTTATAATATTGAAGTTCAAAATGCTAAAGAATTTGTAGAAACCTGTCCTATATTATTTAAATCTTTTTTAAATATTCCTCTCTACATAGAAATGATTGCAGATATCTTTTCTGATGAAATTATTAAAATTAATAAACACATGACTATGAAAATAACAAATACCTACGAGCTATTTAAATTATTCATGAATAAGAGAAAAAACATATTTATAACAAATAAGTGTAGCTGCAAAAATAACTCTGTCTTGTTTAACATTTTAAGCGATTCTTTTGATAGATATCTCGAAGATATACAAATTTTAGCGACAAGAGCCAATTTTGAAAACACTCCAGAACTAAATTTTATTGTTGATCGTAACAAAAAAATACGAAACACCGTTTTGCATGCTGGCGTTCTAGAAGTTACAGAAAAAAATAAAAGATTTGTTCATAAAACATTTGAAGAATATTTTGTTGCTCAACATATATGGAATAAAATTACTGATAGAAACACAAATAAGAATATATTAAAACAAATATATAGACAAGTTTTTTTAAACATAGAGAAACAAAATGTTTGTCATTTTATAGATTGTCTTCTTGAAACAGAACCAAATACGCTAAAACATCTATCAAAAATATTTAGTGATATAGTGAATGAAATCGACTACACTGAAGACAAAGGCATATATAGCTTAGCTTCTCAAGGTTCCGTACACCTAATGAAGATGTTATTTGATAACTGCTCAAATTTTTCATTAATTATAAACAGGAAAGGAAGTAACGGAGAAACAGCCCTTCTTTTATCAGCACATCACCTACCTACTGTCGACTATTTAGTGTCAAAAGGAGCAGATCTTTATTTAAAAGACAAGAAAGGTTACACGGCTCTACATTATGCCGTTACACGATTTTCTAGCTTTGAAAATTTCGAGTTACAACTTTCATCCTTCACTAAATCTCTCCTTTATAAAGATATGATGTATCATATTAATTCAGTTCAAAACAATCTGTACAACTACAACGAAAGGCGCCATTTTAAGAAACGTCTAACTGGATATCAGAGAAATTTAATCCTTCAACATCAAGCAAACGATTTTAGTGACATAGTCAATTACTTCAAAAATAAGAATCTATTTTTAAATACCCAAACAACAATTGGCAGTACTATTTTACATTACATTGCGTATTGTGGACTTATAAAAGAATTTAATTGTCTCGTAACCTCAGGAGCTTCTATTGAAAATAAGGACTTTTATGGGAATAATATAATGCACTATGCTGTCCTAGGCGGATCTTTAGAAATAGTAAGATATTTGTACAACTTAGGTGTTGTTTTAGATAATAAAAATTTTAATGGCGTAGCACCAATTCATTTTACACCGATCGGTAATTCTCTTGAAGTATTAAAATTTCTTTTACACAATGGTGTTGATATAGAGACTACAGATTCATGTGGACGAACAGCTTTATTTTATGTTAATGCTTCCACTTCATTAGATTTGGTCAAATTCATCCTCAATCTTGATACCAATATTGATAGAAGAAGTACTGAGCTATACTACACTGCCCTTCATATGGCTTCCTATACTAACGCAATTGATATTGTCAAATATTTCATAACTGAATGCAAGTTAATGCCGTCACCAGATAAAGTTGGACAGTATCCAGAATTTTACGCAGCTGAAGGTAATGCTGTCAAAGTTCTTAAATACTATCAGAACGCAATACATCCCATAGAAACAATTGTTGATATTGTAGGGGCCAGTGTACTTCACCTAGCAGCTGTCGGCGATGCAATTAATGCTGTGATTTACCTCGTAGAACAAGTAGGGATGAGCCCCATCATACAAGATTCTTCGGAAAGAACACCGTTACACTATGCAGCAGGAAGCGGATCTTTAGAATGTCTTAAATACTTTGTTAAAAAGGGATTTAGCACAAATTTGCTCGATGATTTTGGTAGTACCATAATTCATTATGCAACCAAAAGTAAATCATTAAAATTGTTGAAATATATTATAGAAGAGACTGACGCTACCATAGAAGTTACAGACAATTCTGGAAAACATGCTATACACAAAGCAGCTGAAAACGGTTTTCTGGAAGGTGTTAAGTACTTTTTAGAACGAGATGTACCAGCAAGTATCACAGATAAAATAGGTAACACGATTCTTCATTATTCAGCTTTAGGAAATTCATTAGATACAACTAAATACATTTTCAAAAGTTATCCACAATTATATCAGGCAAATAAGGTTGGTAAATACCCTATCCATTGTTCAGTAGAAGGTGATTCACTAGATATACTAAAGTATTTTAATCAAAATTTTAATGATGTACCCACAATTTTAAAGAATGGTGTTACTCTTCTACATCTAGCTTCTAGAAGTAATTCAATAAAAGTTGTAGAATATTTAACGACAGAATGTTGTTTTAAAATGACTGAAGATCAAGATGGTAGATTTCCCTTTCACTACGCTGCAGAAAATGATGCGTTGGACGTTGTTAAGTATTTCTTAGAAAAAGGCATAAATAAGGATTTTAAGGATAGGGCTGGACGAACTCTTGTGCATTGTGCTGCATTGAGTAATTCAGTAAAAACTTTAATGTACTGCGTTAGTATATTAAAAATGGATCATAAAACATGCGATTATAATGGAAAAATACCTTTACACTATGCAGCTATTGCTAACAATTTAAAAGCAATTAAATACATACTCTCTTTGGGTAATGTGGATATTTCCATCCCAGATTACAGAAAAATAACAGTCTTGCATTGGTGTGCTTATGGAAATTCAGTAGAGGCGTTCAAATATTTCTTTAAGGACTGTCATTCAACTGACATTCATTCTAAAGATGTAATAGGAAGACAACCAATTCATGTAGCTGTTCAGAGTGATGCTCTGGAAATAGTTCAATTTATTTTCAGTTATGAATCTGACTCAAATAAAATTGTTGATAAAAATGGAAATACTTTACTTCATTGGGCCGCAAAGTATGATTCAATTCGAGTTATTAAATATTTCGTAGAAAAGTGTGGTATGTCTGTTGAGCTAAAAAACAGATTTCATGTGACGCCCCTGCAAACTGCCATTCTATATCGTTCGTCAAAAGCGATGAAGTATTTTGGGATTGTACCAGAGAAAAAATGTGTTATATCTTAAAGGTACCATCTTGTATTTTAGATCTAAATAATATTAATGCATCGTGTATGTTGCTTGTTTGCTCGCTAATAGAAATTATTAAATTTTGTGTCAGTGATTGTAGGTACATTGTGTTGATTATGTTTGCTTAATGTGATACTCCATTCATAGAGGAGAAGGTGTAAATGTGGAATATGCATGTAATATGGAATACCTCGGTTTTGACTAAACCAAATGCCGCCCCCTATCGAAAACCGGCTAAACTTATGCTTGTTTGCCACCTCTATCACAGAATAATCACTATTATTCTGTGCCTTTATTGTAGGCAATCTACCCCGCGCCGTTTTAGTATGGTTTTGGTTCTTGAGTTGTGCACATGTGAATTTCGCGTCCTGAAAAGTTTAACACGTAAGTGAATATGCAAGCCTAATTTTTTTTATTTGCATGTTTTTATTTAAATATTTGTTACGATGCCACTGTATATAAACTAAAGTTTAAGATGACGTTGCAATTGGTTAGTTTTTTGTTATGATAGCCTAGATCTAACCTAAAATATTGGTGACATAGATTGTTGGTAATATGGAATACTAGTATTCCATATTTACACCACGTTTTTATTTTTTTTTAGGATGCTACGAAAAACTGAACGTCCGTCTTGCAATAATACAAGAAAGCAATACAAGGAAGAGGACATGGCTAGGGCCATTCAGGCAGTGAGAGAAAAAACAATGGGATATCTCAAGGCATCCAAAACCTATAGGGTTCCTCGTACAACGCTCTTTCGTCTGAGTCAAATTAACACAGTTCCACCAGATAAGGCTGCAGCAACCAAGCTTGGAAGAAAATGTGTTTTGGGACCAGAGCTAAAGAAGCTACTAGTTGATTACATTTTAAAAATGACAGATCTGAAGCGCATGGCTTATCGGTTGGCCATAAGGAATAAAATCAAACACCCATTTTCTACATCTGGATTAGCAGGCAGAGCCTGGATTAATTTGTTTTTAAAGCGACATCCAAAATTGTCAATAAGGAAGCCAACGGGGACATCATTTGCCAGAGCTGTAGGTTTTTGTAAATGAAGCTGTAGGTTTTTGTAAATGAAGAGTTGCCGGCTTTTTTGGCCTCCTTGAAAAGCAAATGCGCTATTCCCCGAACAACGTTTATAATGTAGACGAATCACGGTTAACAATGGTCCAAAGTAAAGTATCGTCAGTAATAGGGGCTGAAAGGCAAACGTCAAGTTACTTCATTAACATCAGCAGAGAGAGGGGCTCTGATTACAGTTATTTTTTGTATGAGTGCGGCTGGAAACTTTGTCCCTCCCTTGGTTATTTTTCCGGTTGGGTACAGTCCCATATTTTCACCCAGTGGTTCCGTCACTTTATTCAGTACACTAACTGAAGAAACCCCCTCCTGTTAATCCTTGACGGCCATTACAGCCACACTCGCAATATCGACATTATCGACCTTGCAAGGGAAAACCATGTTAACATTTTAGGTATGCCTGCTCACTCGACGCACAAGCTCCAGCCTTTGGATAAGTCATTTATGGGGCCATTAAAAGTTTATTATAGTGAAGAAATTCGTATTTGGATCCGTCAAAACCAACGGGCTCTCAGTTCTTTTGATACAATAGAGTTATTTGGTAAAGCTTACGAAAAAGTTCAGACATACACAATAGCGGCTATATAATGATTTTCGCACCACTGGTATTTACCCTTTTAACAGGAATGTTTTTTCCGATGCTGACTTCATTGCTGCGGAAGAAGAAGTAGCTAAAAGAGGAATTACCATTAACATTCAAGAAGTCAAAACAACAAAAGCTTCTACTACCCCTATCGATAAACCTTCATGCTCTAAAACGTCATGCGAAGACAATGCTCCTGGCCGAATTCAAGCTGTTGACCAAGATTAATATAAAGATGACCAAGACCAAGATGAAGATGACCAAGGCCAAGATGAAAACGTAGATTCAACCCAGAAGTTTGTTTTACCGTTCGAAATATCTCCAGTCCCAAACACAATCCGCAAAAAAACCAACAGAGGACGCAAGACAATTGGATCTGTTGTGATTACCTCGTCACCTTACAAAGACGAACTAAATGAGTCAATAAATAAAAAAACTGAAAAGAAGGCAAAATCGCGTGGTGTTAAATGAAACTTGCCTTCAGGAAAATCCTTGAAACAAAAAAAAGATTCTCAGAAACAGGAGAAGTCAAAGTACAAAATGAAACATTAAAAGAATGCAGTTTCTGCTGATGAATCTGAGGATTCAAGCGAAGATGTCAAAATTGACGATTTTGACAACGATTTGGAAGATATGCCGGGACAACTGAAACCGAATGAGGACAATGCTCATTGCATGTTTTGCGATAGTTCGTTTTCTGCTGATAAGAAAGGAGAACTATGGGTCCAATGTTTAATGTGCTTTAAATGGGATCATAATGAGTGTGAAGGCGCCGAAAAAGAGGAATATATTTGTGACTGGTGCAAATAATATGTAGATATTGTTATAGAAAATAAAAGCATAAAGTGACAATGAGCATGTTGGAATAGAGTTAATGCAATGTTATATACAAATAACATTGTTTGAATTAAAAGGTTTACTTACTTACCGAAAGTTGTAGAGACTTGAATTTAAGGAACACTCAGTATAGTATTATTGATACCTAGTCAATCATTTATAAATTGTATTTGGAATTAAAACAAAATTGAAATTTACAACTTAAAAGTATGAAATGAAATAAATAGAATGAATCAAAAAAAAATAATAATGATGTGATTAATAAAAGAGAAAATTTGTAAAATAGTTATAAGGTACAGTTTAAACGTTACTATATATAGTTAAAGAAAACAAACCGTGAATAAAATAAAGTGATATCTACAAGGAAAAATATAACTGAAGCACAGTTTATAGCTTAAAAGAATCAGTTCGCTCACTCGGACCAATTCGATGTTCCAAAATAATATCCACTCCAGGGATACAAATTCAGGATGCGCAGAAGAATGCTGTTTGAATATAGGCGGTTGTCATATATTGAATTGGTTATGAATTGATTCTGTATGCGCCAGGGATACAAATCCGAGTTGCGCAGTTTATAAACTGGAACATTGAGATCAAAAGTGCCGACGCAGAGTGAGCGATTTGATTCTTTAGCTATAAACTGTGACTGAAGTATGAAAAATTAGCTAAATAAATGACAATTTTGTTACAAGAGAAAAAAAATAATAAATCAACAAGATAGACAGACATCAAAAATTTTGGATAAAGAAGTAAAAAGCAGATTACGTTTAAATTGGATCAAAGAAACTGAATTAAAGGAGCCCTGAGTTAAGATATTGAGCTAGCTATAAAAGGTATTCTAGCTACCATTTTTACAAGGTAATTGACATAAATAATAATTTGACAAATGTACACTAAGTGCTGAAGTTACTTACCCTTTCGACTCGCCGAGTCATAATATGCATAACATTGATAAAGACAGTTAAACATATTCTTGCACAAATTTGTCACTATTCGAAATACGGACCTAACATTGAACTGGACTGGTTCACAAATAAAACTATAAACTTTCATTTAATAGACATTTGAGGAACACTTTTAAAACACATTTGCTAAATTAGTTATAAGGTAGTTTTAGGTGTACATAGTTTAATTTATTTATTAGTATTGAATGTAGTCGAGCCGTATTGTTTGTTGTTGTCTAATTGTGGTGTCATTTTGGAACTTAAAATTAAATGGGAGTGGCTATTGAGGTCTAATATAACCGGTGTTTTATGGTAAAGTGTATTTTGGATAGACAACCAACAATACGCAAACTACATCTCCTATATGACGTAAACTACTATTTCAACAAGTTCGTGTGAGTTGTTGATAGTAATAGGATAATTCTTATTTAAATTTTTTGATTTATTCTTATTCAAAAGGAATGTTTAACAATTTTGAAATTTTTATTTGAATAAAGACATATGTTCAATTTTTAAACAAATTTATTTTGATTTGAGGTTTAAATTAAAAACAAACTATAAAATACAAAATTTGATAAGTATTATTGTGGAACCGACACCTCTGAAGGAAAGTCTCTTGCTCGTACATGTCTGAATTAAAAAAAAGTAAGTAGTTAAAGAGTATAATCTTGGTAAAGTTCCAACATGATCATTTAACTAATTGCAATTTAGTCTAATAAAAAAAAAATTGATAAAATTTGGTATTAGTAGATATGTATAAAGGCGCTCAACATAAATAAAATAACAAATAAAATAAATAATTACATCTAAGTACTAATACAAACAATATCAATATATAAATTATTCCATATTTCCCCCAACTTTTCTAAGGTGGGAATTTTGTAGTTTTTTTTTTTCTAACTTGTTTTTTGAAAAAGAGTTTAAGATAATTACACATTTGCTTTTACATTTTGGTGTCTAATTGTCTAAAGTACTTTTTCCCTAAATTTGGCTTAAATCTATATACTAACAAATTTTTTTTAAATACCAAATAAAACGGTATTCCATATTTGCACCTTTTCCTCTACACTTGTCACCTTCCAAAAGCGTTGTGGTATTTATTTTGTGTTTTACTGCCTATCTTAGTATTTTATTTATAGTTTTTCTTATGACATGTAAAATCACTTTTCCTTTTTAGATTTTATAACGTTTTTGCAATAATTTAAAACGATGAATGGAGAAAACTAAAACAAACTAATGACTTGTCATGGGTATAAATTTATAGAATAACTAGTTCAATTTATTGGATCTGACAGTCGATGAAAAGAGTGATATTACTTATTTTAACGGTATGGTTTCAATTTCTTAAATGTATGAGCCCAAACTTTTATTTTCATTTTTTTCTTACTAGTTTTGGATTATTATTGATGGGACACGGCAATGAAACTAGAAGAAAATACTGATTGGTAACAATTTCATAGGATGGAGCCAAGAAGATTTATGTGCGATTTTTGTCTTTTACCTAAATATAATATTTACATTTGTTAAGGGGTTGGAGAAGTGGAAGAAAGGGGGTTGACACATGACAGATGACTGTATTGTAAAAATGTGTTTAATTCGAAATAAAAACAGGATGAAACTGTTTTGAGTGACTTACTCTGTATATCAAAAATGGCTAGTTTTATCGAAATAGTTTATACAACAAAATATGCTTAAAAGTGCATTTTTTTATAAGACGCGCTATATAAGAAAGATCCTCCGATAGAACAAAAAATATTGAGCGCAGCGCCATCTACATATTGATCTATTTAAAATTAATTTATATCTAAAACTGAAGCTTTTCTACTCTATAAACTGGTTTTTATAGAATTTAAATATCTCTATTACTTACCAAAATATGTGGCCTGGGAGTTTTTATTGCTACACCCTTTAGAGTAGCGAAAAAGTCTGACAACAAGGTATTTTCTTTTAAACAAATAAATGAATAATTATAAAATTCTAGAGAGATGAATGGGATTGTATTCTGTATTTTTGTAGGACATGTCCAATTTATATGACGTCAGCGTTTTTAACATAGTACAAGTAAGACATCTTAAAAAAATTTTTGTTGCCGGACTTTTTCACTTCCTTGTATGTATACACTAAAAAAAAATTATTATCGTGGCAGAAAGAAAAAGTTATTTAAATATGTCTCAGCCCAGAAGATTTACTAATATTTAGATTACTAAAAATTAAAAGTATGTTACGGCTCTGGGCAAATATTATTACGGAGGTAGTACATTTTTCTTACGGGTACACTACAGTAACATCGAATAACTACCACCAATGTCAAGGATTACTATACGTAACATCTAGTTGCAATGCTGCAGTAATACTGCCTTACTGATATGGTAAAACTGCTGTACTCTAAGAGTAATATTATCTTACTACTTACAGTACAACGGTATTATTGTTACATTAATAATGTCTTACTAATTTAGCAAAACTGTTTCACTGCTACAGTAATAATATTTTGCCACTATAATAAAATTATTTACTTAACCGACTACAAGTAGTAAATATTTTGGGAATGGGAATAACGTTGTAAAAACGCATTTTCTCGACGTCGGGCTGACGTTGTAAGATTTAACTATGCATTAGGTATTTTTTTCAGTTAAGTTATAAACGTTTTCGAGGAGTCACCTTTGGAACTAACCTAATAGAATAGATATATCCTATCTATTAAAATAATATGATAAAATAATAGAAAAACAATCACAAATGCATTTTATGTTTTTTACAAATACTTTATCATATAATAATATATGTATCTTTAAAAAGTGTTTTAAAAACTGTGCTAAATTGAAAATAAATCGAGCCTTTGCATACACTGCCTCCTGTTTCCTTAGTTGGATTTCGTTTAGATTTTGGTCAGATACTCCATTCGCGCTTCGGATATTGTATATGTGCACTTTGTCTTAGAAAATCTTCCAAATACCACTAAATAAACTATAACAGTAGAAAAATAAGCGAATAAGCGAGCACGTGCGCTATAAAAAAGAAATTAAAAAAAAAGTTGTATATTTTTTAGTCATCTGATAACCAAAGTCGCGCTAACGCCTATTAGATTACTACTACGCCATGTTTAAAGTATAATTATGTTTGTAGGCATGGTCGGCCATTAGCCATTAAACTTTGGGTCACAAACGAAGGATTATAAAACCTAATTTTAATTTTCTAGAAATAATTCACATATGTCCCGTTTAGTTCGTGATTGAATCAATATCAACTATGAATATTGTTTATCTAATTTTTTTTTTTATTTTTAAGTCTTAAGCAATTGTATATTTGACAGTAAACTAAAACGCGTTGCTAATTTCTGTTTTCGAAATCGTTATTTTGCGGCAATATAAATAGAGTATTCCGAGCATAAGGATCAAATATTTTGATATGACATGTTTGAGAAGTTGTCAGAAAGTTTTCATTTTGGCCACAAGTAATTATGTCGTTAAAAATTTACTATTTTCTAATCACCACAGAAAGTAAGCTATCTACGCGGCATGGGCGGCTAGGGGGGCTACGGGGGCCATCCCCTGCCGAGATGAATATTTTTACGATTTATGATCCTTTTATGCAAAAAAATATGCTAAAAAGGGAATGCCTAAAGGCAACCTTTTCAAACACGTCGCCGCAACTTTAAATTGTTGCTTGGGAATAATGTATTGTTACCCTGCACCTTGCAGGAGTCTGCGGCTGTAATAGGAAACGTACGATGTGACGAAGTTACTAAATTTTAATTTTAATTAATTATAAAAATGTATATTATAATTGTTGAGTTCTAATTAACAGTGCTACTCACAAAGTGGCGATGAGAAACAGTAATAAATCCTGCATAGATCACACATTTTATTAAATTCAAACCAAACTGAGACTGGCTACTTGGGTAGAATTCACCAAAGCCATTACACCGGAGAAAAAATAGTTTATATTATTCATTACTCGATTCGAATCCTTTTTTTTTTCTGTTTTATGATAGACGTTATACGTTATTGTTATCAGTTGTATAATTGAATTATTGTAAAAGATCAGTTGAAATAAATTGAGATACCAAAAACCAGCGTATGTTATTGATTTTAAAACCAAAAAAAAGCTCATTTTTATCCGTTTTCTTTTCCTAACTAGTAACGCAATGAATTTTTCGAAACCAGTTTCAAATATCCGACACCACTTGCATAGGTTGCGTAAAGTAGATCATTTTGACAATTGCTGCGATTACAAAAAAATAATTTCATCATGAAATATTTTATGTAATAAGTAATTAACTTTATATTTATCACAAATATTTTTTTAAAATTTTGTTCTAAGAATGTTGTAGAAAGTAAATTGTATAACAATTCCGATTTATGAAAATAAAATACTAGTTTCTGCAACTTTAGTACAAACTAACATTCTAACGCCCGTATGCACCGTACACGTTTAATCCAGATCAAGGGTTTAATCGCGTTTAGTACCATTTTTATTAGCTATGGTACTAAACGCGATTAAACCCTTGATCTGGATTAAACGTGTACGGTGCATACGGGCGTAAGAAACAGTAATATAATATCAATATCACAATCGTGTAAACTGAAAATTATAGAGCTACTTTAGTAGTTGGGTTTACTTTAACGTTGACAGTAACGTTAGCAGAATTCTTACAAAAAACTACTAAAAACATTCTAAAGTAAATATTTATATAAATCCATAATTAGTATGTTTTACTCAAATAGAATTCCACCAGACACGCTCAACATGACACCAATCGCGTTGCACAATATCTTCCCACTACGTAACATATCGCTAGATGTTCTACTGGTGATATTGCGGATATATTTACGCTAATTGAAACTGTAGTCACTATTTCATAAAAACGTCATACGGTTGTAGTCCGCGGAATGGCAACTTCGGTTTCTGACGCATGAAATATTTTACAAGATACAAGAAACATTTCTTGCAGTACTAATATATTATTAATGAGTATTTCGGCCCTCCTACGTTGAAAATAGATCACAAGTGAAGCGTGAGCTATACAGGGTGATCGAAGAGTGGTGAATCAAGAAGTAATTCGACGAAAAGGAAATTGAAGCTATTTTTATTTCAGGATAAGTTCGAATATGAATTAGATAACCTGTGCGAATTATGTATTATTTTCAGAGTATTGGACCTCGCATATAAAGACGTAATGTGCCTGCCGCCACTCTAGATAATTTTTATATTTTGACTCTTACTTAATGACGTTATAAACTCATCCATCAGTATAAGAGTAAAAAGTAAAACATTATATAATAAAAATGCAAATAAAATTTGAAGTGCAAAACTTTATTTTTTTGGCCAGATAATAGGTTATAATAGCGACAAAATACTTGAAATAATAAAGAAACAAAAGTTTTACCTCTGAAATAAAAATATACATTTTATAATTAGAAATGTAAAATAACAGTATTTACTCAGAATATATAATCTAATAAAAAATTATAAAGAATAAATCTCGTGAAATGAGAAAAGTCCTTCGACAAAGACTACCTAATAATTAACTAGGTAAAATATAATAATTTCGGTGAAATCAATTTTTTCAGAGATTTCAGATTCAATAGACATGATGGTCAAATCTGAAATCACCTGAATCCACAGAAACAGGTAAGGCCAAAAAAATTCTCTAGCTGGTAAAATATCTTTGAATGAAGTTATTTCATTAAAAGTTGAATATCGTCTATAACTTTTAAAATAGGTACTTATTTCCTCCTCCCTTACCTGTAACTTAATGCAGGCTTTCATGAGATCATATTTAGAAATGTTGTGAAAATCATATAATGCTTTAGGATTGATATCGAGAGAATGCGTTTCTGAAGCCCTATATTTTCACCTGTTATAGCTCTGACCCCGTATATCTTTAACTTTCTAGCTGTAGACTAGGTAATAAGTTCTCTAATATACAGAAAGAAGTTCATGCTTATTTTAAGCAAAAAAATAAGCGTTTTCGGGCTTGTTTGTGAGCCAAGCATGCCACAAACTTTATTTAAGAAATTTTAAGCTATTGCATAGCTTTATCGTGGGCTTTGAGCGCGGCGACCGAATCAAGAAATTCCTTAACGAAAATGAACCTAACACCTCCCACTCCAACCGGCACATCGGTGCGGCGTTGAAAGCCGTGGAAGGTTTTATCCGACCCTATTCGTATTAGTATGAAGCGGAGTTAAATATACGTCTGCGGACTGGAACTAGCAGAGCTAGCTTTCTCTCTCTTCTAATAAATTGGTATCACAAATGTTCCTGGCTGGTGTAAATATTAGATATTAATTTTTTTTTTGCAAGATTTATAAAATATTAATTTTTATTTTATCAGTGTTAACTATTTCATTATTAAGCTATTGCACACCCTTGAAAACTCAAAAAATCGAAAAATCGAAAAATCGAAAAATCGAAAAATCGAAAAATCGAAAAATCGAAAAATCGAAAAATCAAAAAATCGAAAAATCGAAAAATCGAAAAATCGAAAAATCGAAAAATCGAAAAATCGAAAAATCGAAAAATCGAAAAATCGAAAAATC